TAGATAGTTATTAAATGTAAAAGATAATGACAAAAAGTAAAAACCCTTCAGAATTAATTAGAAATAAATGAAATTAAAATTGAATTTATTTAATAAAATAAATAATAAAAAACTCAATTTTCTTCAAATGGGTTCAAATAATAATGCTAAGATGCGATCTTTAGTTTCATGATTTTGAATGCCATGTCCATTGACGCCGGGTAGGATAGTGATTATCCTACTGTCTTGTTGTAGCAGATGATTCGCAAGTAAAGAACGACAGAAAATGCCCAAAAAACCAAAGAAAATACTCTGAATTCAATTCAATATTATTAATAATGCAGAATGATCAAAATTAACCCACAAGTCGGCTTAAATAGCTGCGAAATATAAAATTATGGGGAAATTACCAAAAATTGCAAAATCCCAAAATTATACCAAAATAAAATATTAAGTAAAAGAAGTAAGTTGCCAAAATTTTGGCTCAATTCGAGTTTTCCAACATATGGAAAAAAGGAAACAAAAAATTACCATAAATAGTAAAAAATAACTTAAAATTGAATTTTGGAAAGGAAAACAGTGGATTTTGGGCTTGAACTTGACGTTCACCGAGCATAGCTGGGTGGCCACGACGTGTGCGCCGAAGAGAGCTTTCCGGATTGGGGTCATAATAGCGATTCCGATAACCGTAGTCAAAGTTATGGTCAAATTATCAAAAACGCGTCAAATTCCCCCAATTAAGGAAATAATGGCGATTCACTTTCCATCTTTGCGCCGATCCGCCATCTCATAGTATCTCAGCGCCATCATCGTGCTATCTGACAAATCAGCATCACTCGACTCGGATCCTCATGCATCAGTCGCCCTGGGTTGGAAAGAACTCCCCCTCGAGTTCACAGTAACTTCATCGGACTCCACAAAACAAGGGATTAGGTGTTTTACATTGAAGACGTCAGAGGTCTTCAAATGGCTAGGGAGGCGCCACCTGTAAGCATTATCATTGATCTTCTGCAGCACTTCACAAGGTCCAATCTTCCGCTCCTTTAGCTTATTGAATTCCCCAGCTGGAAAACAATCATGAGTTAATACTGCCCAAACAAAATCACCAACATCAAACAACACCAGGCGTCGATGACTATCTGCCCGAACTTTGTACTTAGTATTACTATCCTATATGGACAGCTTCACATGCTCATGGATACCTCGAAGATGTTTAGCCATCTCATCAGCTTTGTTATTGAAGTGACCCACACGTGGAATTGGAGCCAAATCAAGTACTCCGGATGGGTTCTGACCATAGACAATTTCAAAAGGACTCAGTCCGGTGGTTCTATTCCTTGACCGGTTATAAGCAAACTCTGCTTGAGGTAATGCCAAATCCCACAGCTTCGGTTTAGCCCCGGCTAAGCTTCTTAAAAGATTTCCCAAACTTCGATTCACCACCTCAGTCTTACCATCTGTTTGGGGATGGTATGCGCTGCTAAAATTCAATTTCGTTCCAAGTTTCTCCCACAAACTCCTCCAAAAATGACTCATAAACTTAGTGTCACGGTCAGAAGTAATTGACTGTGGAACACTATGTAAACGGACAATCTCTCTGAAATAAAGATGAGCAATCCAAGTAGCATTCATTGTCTTCCGACAAGCCACAAAATGAGCCATCTTTGAGAATCTGTCAACCACAACAAGAATGGAATCCATCGCCCGCTGTGTATGAGGTAAGCCCAAGACAAAATCCATACTGACATCAAACCAAGGAGCTTCAGGTACGGGTAATGGTGTGTACAATCCAGCATTAGTAAGAGCCCTTTTAGACCGCTGACATACATAACACCGCTCCACATAATGCACCACATCATTGCTCAACTTGGGCCAGTAATAATCAGAAGAGACCAATGCCAATGTCTGGTCTCGCCCAAAATGTCCTTCGTTATGAAGTTCACTAATAATTTGCTGCCTTAGTGAACAATCCGGAATGCATAACTGCAATCCACGAAACAGGTAACCATTATGTAAAACAAAATCATGTCGGTGACTATCAATTACCTCCCGAATTATCTTCCCAAATGAAGGATCCGCAGCATACATATCAGGAAATGCCTCAAATTCGACAATCTTGGTGCTCATGGTGAGAAGTAATGTGCGACGGCTCAATGCATCTGCTACTCGATTCAAACTCCCTGCTTGATGCCTGAGTGTGAAAGTAAACTCTTGCAAGTAGGCTACCCACTTTGCATGTCGCCTACTCAGCTTGTGCTGACCATTAATGTACTTCAAAGCCTCATGATCAGTAACAAGAATGAACTCCCTTTGTACCAAGTAATTGCGCCAATGCTTCAGAGTCTGAACTATGGCATAGAACTCCAGGTCATAAGTGGAATAATTTTTCTTCGATCCCGATAGCTTCTCACTAAAAAAGGCTACTGGACGTCCCTCCTGACTTAGAACACCACCAATACCAACTCTAGACGCATCACGATTTACCTCGAACACCTTTTCAAAATTCGGAAGTGCCAAGACTGGGGCCTCCGTCATCTTCTGCTTAACCAACTGAAAGCTAGCCTCTGCCTCCTCAGTCTACTGAAAATCATGCCCTTTAAAGCACTCTGTGATAGGAACAATCAAGATACTGAAGTTTCTGATGAATCGGCGATAGAAGGATGCCAATCCATGGAAACCTTTCACATCGTGCGAAGTTTTTGGTTTCGGCCAATTCAAAACTGCCTCAATTTTGGATTGATCTGCATGAACACCATCAGTAGACACAACAGAACCCAAAAACGTTACAGAAGTTGTGAAGAAAGAACACTTATTCTGATTGATGAATAAGCGCTCCGTCCTCATTACATCAAAGACAGCACGAAGATGATTAAAATGTGACTCCCATGTCAGACTATAAATAAGTATGTCATCAAAATAAATTACCACAAACTTCCCCATGAAAGGCCGTAAAACCTGATGCATAAACCTCATAAAAGTGTGGGTGTGTTGGATGGTCCAAAGGGCATGACCATCCACTCGTACAACCCATATTGTGTCTTGAACGCGGTCTTCCACTCATCTCCAGGCCTGATTCTGATATGGTGGTATCCAATTTTAAGGTCAATTTTTGAGAAGACCTTAGAACCGGACAGTTGATCCAACATGTCGTCCAGACGGGGAATTGGAAACCTGTACTTCACTGTAATCCTGTTAATTGCCCTGCTGTCAACACACATACGCCATGACCTATCTTTCTTCGGCACTAGTAGAGCAGGAACTGTACAAGGACTCATACTCTCACGAATATAGCCCCTTTCCAATAATTCCACCACCTGTCGCTGCAACTCTTCAGCTTCTTTGGGACTGAGGCGATATGCTGGTTGGTTTGGTAGACTCGACCCTGGAATGAGGTCGATCTGATGTTGAATGTCCCTCATAGGTGGTAGTCCTGGAGGAAGATCCTCGGCATCAAGTCAGAAAACTCCATCAGTAGTTGCTGCACTTCTGCTGGAAATTCTGAATCCACATTCGTTGTACTATTTTCATGAGGCATTAAAGCATAAACTATATTTTCACGCCCAACCTCAACCAAGAACCTAGACATAGAAAGTAGATTGGGATTATTAACTACCAGGGCAGGGATGTTTCCTTCCCTGCGAGGCACCAAAACAATTCTCTTCCCTTTGATGCTAAGAGAATAAGTTTTCTTCCGCCCATCATGGATAACACTGCGATCATACTTCCAAGGTCGTCCCAACAAAACATGACACGCGTCCATTGATACCACATCAAACTAAGCATTATCAAAATATTTTTTTCCAATCGAGAAAGACACTAAGCATTGTTTTTCTACCGTTACCTCACTGCCTTTATTCAACTAAGACAACTTGTATGGTTTGGGATGACGATCCATCTTTAGTTGCAATTTCTCGATAGCCTCCTCGAACACTATATTCTCACAACTGCCACTATCAATTATCAGCTTACAGACTTTATCAGCAACTGTGCAGGTTGTGTGGAAAACGTTGGTCCTCAACCAATCATCCGCTCAGTCGTCCTTGGGAGTCAGGAGGCTCTTTCAAACGACCAAGGTCTCCTGACTATCTCCATATAGCACGTCCTCATCTTCACCCTCATCATACACGGGTTCTCCAACTTCCTCGAACTCCTCTATCATATCCTCCTCAATCAGAAGATTTTTATTCTTCTGACCAGTAGGCTTCCTGCAATCAGTTGCCCTATGCCCCTGTTCACCACACCTAAAGCACTTAATACTTGAGCTGGAACTATCCTGCTGTGGCTGATAAGCAGGACGAGATTCTTTAGGGCGAACTGGCTGACTTCCTTCACCTCTGACTACTGGCCTCCTACTCTGCTGTTTCTCTATTGCAAGTACTCGCTGATATGCCTCAGAAACTGTCTCAGATAAATCATTCTGAGCCACCAACTGATAGAATTCTTTAGTATAATTATTGACTGATCTTGCGCCTTGCCTTAGTGAATGAAGCCTCTGAAACAAGGTTTGAGTATAGCCAAAAGGAAGGAAGTGCCCTTTCATCTTCTCCCAGTTAGTAATTTTGGATTTCCCCTGTCGCTCCCGTGAACGCTTCAACTGTTCCCACCATGCAGATGCCCTACCTTTGAGTTTGATGATGACCAGTTTCACTTTGACACAATCTGGAACCTCTTTATATTCAAAAATTTGCTCCACTTCATTCAGCCAATCAATAAATCCTTCAGCCTGCAACGTACTAGAAAACTCGGGCAGATCCACTCTAAAACCGAGATCCACATGAAAATCCTCTCGTCCACGATGCTTCCAAACACGAGCATGATGGTGATACGGGTTTTCGAAACTGGTATCGGAATCGTGACCTTCCACATCATGATTACCGAACTCCTGCTCCGCCAAACGTTGGGTTAACTCCATAACTGTCTCTACAAATCTTTAATCGTCACATCCTGAATGTTACGATCACGGTGTGAGACTTCCTCAATTGGAACCTGTCCTCGACGACCACGATCACGTCCACCAACCATTATAACTGATGGAATTTATCTTCCAAGAAGATGCTGACGCTCTGATACCAACTGACGCTGGGTAGGACTATCCTATTGGCTTGTTGTAGCAGATGATTCGCAAGAAAAGAACGACAAAAAATGCCCAAAGAGGAAATACTCTAAATTCAATTCAATATTATTAATAATGCAGAATGATCAAAATTAACTCACAAGCCGGGTTAAATAGCTGCGAAATACGAAATTATGGGGAAATTACCAAAAACGAAAAAATCCCGAAATTATACCAAAATAAAATATTAAGTAAAAGAAGTAAGTTACCAAAAATTTGGCTCAATTCGAGTTTTCTAACATATGGAAAAAAGGAAACGAAATATTACCATAAATAGTAAAAAATAACTTAAAATTGTATTTTGAAAAGGAAAACAGTGGATTTTGGGCTCAAAATTGACATCCACCGAGTATAGCTAGGTGGCCAGGATGTGTGCACCGAAGAGAGCTTTCCGGATTGGGGTCATAATAGCGATTCTGATAACCGTAGCCAAAGTTATGACCAAATTACCAAAGACGCGTCAAATTCCCCCAATTAAGGAAATAATGGCGATTCACTTTCCATCTTTGCGCCGATCCGCCATCTCATGGTATCTCAGCGCCATCATCGTGCTATCTGACAAATCAACATCACTCGACTCGGATCCTCCTACATCATCCATCCCCATACCAGTACATGTATTGTGCCATTCTCGCAAGATTCACTGCAATTTCAATAAAAAATTTTGAGAATGGACAAACTGTTTCTTGAACTTGGTTCATTTTTTTCCACGTCTCACGTATCAAAGATCTAATGTGTTCACGTGCCTCGTCTTCAGAAGCCCCAGTTTCGTTCATGTAACATTGTATTGTTTTAGGAACGTCACCTCTTTTCATTTCGTCCTGAGAGAGAAAACGAAACAAACTGTTAGTTGAAAGGGTTAATTTTGAATTGCTAATGATTTCTTAAACAAGAATGAACTTGAAAACATGAAATGAAATTTTAGTCTAAATGCGCACCACTGATGTTGCTAAATCATCTGAAAGACGTAAAATCGTTGCCGACCAACGGATTAAATTGGGATAATCAAGTAAGTACTGAACAGCTTCCTTCTCTATAGGACTGGTAACAGCGAAAAACGCATGGGATAGTATGACATGAGTTGATATGGAAATCCATGCAGTGTTCATATACTCTTCCATTGTTGGTTTGTATCCATTGAAGTACCACCTTGCTTCTTGTAAGTATGCTTTGCATAAATCTTTCCACTCCCAAATTTGACAAGATTACTGTATACGGATTAAATATGGAAGCTGATACAAGGATTATGTATTGGACTTTTTGAAGCAAAAGTAATACCGCTTTTCTTAAATATGGAATAATTATAAACCCTTTTTCTTTAAGAATGTCGTAAGCCATTTCGTTGACGAAGTTATTGAGTGCTAAATAGCAAATTTGCATGTAATCTGGAAGTTGATGTATTGAACTGACATCCCATCTGTAGAGTTCCAAACAAATAATAATTATAGGAGTTAGAACGGTGAGAAGGGGAAAAAAAATCAATATATCACATATGGGTAAACTTTAATATAAACTACCAATCTAATTTTCCAAAATTTGGTCCTCAACTTTTAAAGAAAAGAAAGTTCGTACCTTACATGTTATTATTGTTTCGCAACTGGTCGCCCACTAATGAAAACCATAATTTTCATAAATTATCGTGTGGCCCTCATAAAAACATGCA